TCACCCCTGCTTTGTCGGGTGGCGGCTCACCCCACCTCCTCTCCCCAGTTCCCTGCCCTGCTCCAATAGAGACAGCTCTTAGGGTAGAGGATTAACAACAAGAAATCTGACATGCCCAGAAAAAAAGACAAACGTTGTGGGAAAATGGCAATTATATAAAGATAAATTTAGATGTCTCTTTTACTGAAGTTGTTTTTCTTTTTTCTCACCCAGATTTGGTAGCTTAAGATTCTAATTTTATAACCTTGGTCACTGGGAGAACCTCAATTGATTCCTGTCACTTTAAACAGCCCTTTATAGTCAAGCCTCTACAGTACATTTCCTCTTCTTTTCAACATATCACATTTCTTGGCAGAAATATCTAGCAAAAATCACCAAAAATTGTATAATGAGGATAAGATCAAAACTTCACACAACAGATTTCTCTTTTAGGTTACTTCTTCCTGTTCAATCTTTCCTTATTTTAACTTTATTATAGCAGCTAATGATGGCAAATTTGATTTCAGTATTGTCCCATCATCTTGTATTTGTTGCCAAAGGGCATTTGTTCTTTCCTCTGACTTTCAGGTTTCTGAATTGAAGGACCGTGTCTGTGTAAACACTCAGGAGCCTGCTGGTGCTCAGCACTTGGCACCTCCTACTTGAATTCGAAGCCTGAACTCCAGAGCGGCACTCCTGCTTTCCCTGGCTCCGTTTAACTTGGCTCGTCTCCGAGAGTTTCCATTTTAAAATGTATACGGTGCTCTTGATTCCAATGTAAAGGGTGTTTGTGATTGCCTTTAGGAGTAAAGATCAAGTTCAAAGCAAAAATACCACCAGACTCACTCCCCGTAGGAGCCACGTGAAGAATCTCCCTTCATAACCAAACCAGGCCAGGAGACCGAGTGGCCTGTGCCACATCCAGCTGAGTCACCACGTCGCTAAACCTTTTGCTTTTTCCCCAGAAAAATGCTTTCTCTTCTCTGTTCAGTGACTAACTCCATCACAAATGTGACCCAGTTTGTTTGGCAAGATGTGATTTTTAAAAACACACGCTGCTTTTACTGGTCACGACTCTCTCGCAGGCATTTAGCGACTCCCTCCCAGCACCAGTCTGGTCCTGCTGCTGAGCTGGATTGATGGCTTTCTCCCGGGTTGTTCCCTTCCAGCCCGCCCTCCTCTCCCGGCAAATCCATATTCCATTTGCTTTTCTGCAGCATTCGGATATCTCCAGAGCCTCCTTAAAATAGAGAGATAAACACTAATCTCCAAGGGAAGTTGACAGGCAGAGTCCAAGTGTTATAGGACAGGGAGAGGGGCAGCCCAAACCCCGCAAACCTGCCTATTCTAAGTGGGTTCTGCCATCCGTCGCATCTACACAAAACATAGGAGACTTTAATGGGAAGGAACTTTAATAAAACTAGGAAACAATACAGGAAAGGCAAAGAGTCTAGTTTCTAAATGAAGCATCCAGAGTTACCCGTCCCCTCGTGGGTAAAAGTCCATCCAAATGGGATTGGCCCAGAGCAAGGCCCCAAAGCCTGCCACAAGTCTAAAGCATCTTCCAGTGGGGACCCACAGAAAAGGGCCAGAAACAACCAGACAAGCCCGGAAGGAAAAGAGCAAAATCAACATCAAGATAAAAGCTGCCATGGTCACCTCCCCACGGGTCTCACCCATATCTGTGTCACCCAGTCCACAACCAAAAGACAAGCGCAGTTTCTTCACGTGTCTCTAGGCTCCATGCGCCTCCTCCAGGTCTCCTGGCTCCATCCCGCTTCCTTCCTTCCTCAGTCTCTTCTGCAGCTTCTCCTCTTCCTGCTCAGCTCCACCCTCCCTTGGGTGGGGCAGGGAACCTCCCCCTTTCCTGGGGACCACCCTGTTACACAAGGACTGGTACAGCTTAGTGATCTGCTCTGGAAGGCAGCTGGATGAAAGCACAGCAATGGCGGACAGGGCGCCGGCATGTGATCCCCTGCCAAGTACATTTGACTCCATGATCTTATTTAACATACAAGATCACCCGCAGAGCAGGTGTAAATGGTCCTTCTATTTTATAGATAGGAAACCAAGGCTCAAAGAAATGAAGTTGTCTACAGTAAGAGGGCCACGGTTTGAACCTGTCCTTGTGAAAACTGCAGTGTAATCTACACTTGATAAAACCTGCAGATCTTCAGTGTTGTTAAATGTATGTTGACAAAAGTACACACTGTGTAACTACCACCCACAAAGGATATAGAGCATTTCCATCACCCAGAAAGACCCCCTGTGCATTTTCCTGACTTTACATCTTAATTAGTTTGCTTCATTTTATGTCTCCTGATGCCAAACTCCAGATTCTGATCTTTTTCTATTACAAAATGTCATGTCTTAGAAATTCATACAATGGGCACCATCGATCCCACCTGACAGGAATCTACAGACAGAGGACTTTAGGAAGCCAGACCTTAGTCCCTCAGCTGGAAAAGTAGGTCAACTAGCAGAGTGGCCCTTGAGGCATGCAATTTGGGGAATGTTTGGAAAGCAATTCTAAAACTACACAAAGGCCCTTTCCTTAAAGGCCCATGTTGATGTGATCACTCAGGAGCCTGGTTGTGTTCAGGCACTTGTCACCTCCCACTTGAACTCCAGAAATGACCTTCCTGCAGGAAGTTAAGCTCATTGCTCTCTGGCCTCAACAGAGGGCTACTGAAGGAAGAATGTTGTGAAGTTCAAAAGAGAGGGCGTAGAATTCAGCTTTGAGATAAGAAGCAGCAGACTCTGGTACACATTTCTAGGACCTCCCCACCCACCTAGAGCGGCCACTTCAGTATCTAGAGCCACCAGCCACAGGCAACACCCTAAATTTCACGCTGGATATACTTCTATAGACTTTCCAGGCCCATCAAGCACCTGTCATCCGTAAACTCAGTGTTTTGCAACTGGAGGCCTCCATTTTACGAAAACAAAAGCAAAAGAAGTAATACCAATCCATTCAGTTACTTCCAAGGATATAGGTAAATGGAACTAAGTGCTGAGTCATTTAAGGTGAGGTTCCTCTCAGGCTTCCATTAATGAAAAGGCACCTGATACAATTAACCTTATCTGCTTATCTGCCCACAGTTTTAGGCTCAACTCTTTGTTCAGTGTAGTAGGTTAACTGGTTCCTCTTAGATCTTGTTTATATACAGTGGACTGCTGGTAAATGTTTAATAGCTGATTCTCTAGGTAAGAGGGAGAAAAAAAAAACTGATTTATAGCTTTTGCCAATTTCCGCCTGTCCCTGAGGGCGGGTTTGGAAGCCTACTTGTGTGACCGGCTCCAGCACAGTTCCCACCTACACTAATACTTTTAACTAATTTAGCGCAGCTTTCCCCGTACACAGACCCAAGAAGGGTGCCAGGGGGCAGCCGCCACAGGGCATGCCAGCCTGGGAAAAGACCCAGTGGTGAGTGATGTGTGGGTAGCCCGGTCCCTTCTGCTTCTCTGCCAGCATCTCCCTGAGTAGTCTTTTCTTCAAAAGTTGTATTGTACAGTCAGGAGTTTGCAAGGGACTCCTTCCTCTCCCGGATTGAAAATCTCCAAATAAACCTTCAAAATAGTTCTGAAGTGCAGATTAAACGTAAGCTGCCCTGAGGTGAATGTCCACAAATCCTCAATTCGGAGAATCCAAATGACCACCCTCCCGCTTTCTTTCAATTGCCTCAGTTCTAGCTAGGCTTTCACTGTATTTAGAATATCTCTAACCACGCAGCAAGCACATACGTGCAGACGTTTTCTGCTCCTGGAGGAGCATCTATGGATGTACAGAGAGGAAAGGAGTGGAAGGAAGAGTCCTAGGCCTTGACAGGAGCCTGGGGCAGCTGTTCAGGTTAATGCACATGGAGACTGCCACCCCGCCACCGTATTCCTCAGCGACACGGGTAGAAAGGATGCATGGAAATTTGCAGGTTCATAGAAGGATCTACATGATGGGAAGATTTTCCTTTTTTCTGAGCGAGTATTAGCCTAGTAGCAGGGCTTTTTGCTCTGCTGGCATTTACTGTGCCACGCTGTTCTCTTCCACCACTTTAATTAGCATTCACTCCTCATGTGTCCGCGTTCCTCCTCCCCCCAACCCCCCCAGAACTTGACCTGATTTTGCATGACCTTTCCCAATCTTTTCTCTGCTTCCTGTCCCAACTTGTCCTCACCCTTTGCAAGTTGCTCTGGGTTTTGTTTTCTGCTCTGCACATTTCTTGTGCAGGAGCGTTGGCATTCCATTTGTAAGCCTTCTGATTACTTTAGATATTTCACACAATTATCTAAGCTTCCTGTCTCTCTTGCTCAGCCCAGTCCCTTTCATGTCATACATTCATTAAATTCCTTTTATGTGCACTTTGCTGACTGCTATGGAAGGATTCAAAAGTACCTGAAGAGAGGTCCCTGCCCTCAGTGATTTTGTAATCTAAGAGAGAGGAGATAATAACGTCTAAACTGTACTGAGAGTTTCCTGTCTGACAGGCAGCTTCTTCCGTTACAAATAGACACTAATGTTATTCTCGTATTCTCGTTTCACTAGGCAATGCTGAGACTCAGAGAAGTTAAGTAACTTGCCAAGGTCACACAGCTGGTCTTTGGTGAAGGTAAATAAATTGGGTTTCTAACCCAAATGATTCCAAAATCTGACCCTTACCACTGTATGACACTCATGAGAATCCCAATAACCAGAATAGGAGGGTTGTGTGGAGGGCAAAAATGAAGCAGAATTGAGTTGGCAGTTTTTTAAGACAGCGATGAGAACCGAAGGTGCTTCACTGGGAACTGTCTTTGGGAAGTAGTGAGCTCCCTAGCAGCAGAGGTATAGAAACTGGAGCTATTTGTAATGTTCTGGGCAGGAGCCAGCCTCTGGAAGAGTCCTCTATACATCCTCCAGTCCTGATGACTGAAGCAAGTGGCCTGTGACCTCAGCTAAAAGACAAACTTCTTGTTCGTGTGGATCGAGTGGAGAAGGTGGTCAGAGTAGAAAGAAACCATTCCAGAGCTAGAACAAAGAGAGATACCTTCCACTGTCACTGGGTCTCCATGTCACAGATTTCTCCCATCACTTAGCTCAGGAATATATCCAGAAACGCAGCAGCTGCTTGACAGCTAAAAAAAACAGCAAATGTGATCATTTAAGCCACCGCTTCTCAATCTAGGCTTCAGAAGCAGCTGTGGGGAGGTGAGTTCCTACCGGTAAAATCAAGCAATTGGTGTTATTACCCAGTTTTCGGGGGGGTAGAATTTCACTAGCATTCAAACACAACTCAACCTCAATATATTCCATGGAAATGTTTCTCTTAAATTTTCCTAAAGCTTTGGCAACTGCTACGACTTGTCTGCCAGTGAACACTGATACAATAAAACAAATAAATGAGCATAGTTTTAAAAATTAGGGGAAAAACACAGAAATAACCAATTAAGCTTGGTGTGACAGCTTGTTTTTTTTTTTTTTTTTTTTCATGGACAGTTGGTGGTAATTTTAGATTGCATACATATTTTATAGAGTTGTACTTTCTGCCCGTGAAATTGTTCTTAGATCATTTAATAGAAACAAATATGTCAATATTTCATGGTATCCCACAAGGAGCACTATGGCTTCAGATACTCTCTCTCACCTTCATAATATTGCTGTGACTAAGTGATGATTCTGTAATTATTTTATTGCCAAGTGGATAAAAGTGTAGAAATTCTAAATGGTGGGATTCTACCTTTGTTAAACTGGTGGAAAGTGTTTTAAAGTGTTGGTGGAAACAGTTCAATTTAGGGCTACAAAAATACACAGACGCTCCCATGCCTTCTCTGTTAATCCAGCTTTCCCCCCAGCCGGGGTCCATCATCCAGTAAGGACATATCAAGATATATCAAAATGGACATCTCCTTGAACACAGCCACCAAGCCAGTGTCGAGTCCATCGCCTGAGAATCTCAGAGAATCACGGGAGGAGGAGGGCATGCACAGTTTGAAAAGGCTAGCAAGGGGTTTCCACCTCTTTACCTGCTTAAGAGCCTCTGTCTAACCCCCCAGTTACCAGGACCTTTAATGGTGCTTCATCAGTGGTTTAAAGGTTTCCATTTTAAAAAGTCCCTTGGCCAGCAGGAAGCTGTAACTCATGTCTCCTGCCAAACCCACCCTTCTCCCCAGCCCCGCAAAAGAACTGGCATCAGGACACAATGTCCCAAGCCCTGAGAGAGTCCTGCTTTGCTAAGTCCTCCTGTACAGCTAGTTGGGCCACAGCGCCTCTGCCCACTGGGCCCTGGTCTCTCCCAGTGGTGTGCAGCTACTCAACAACTAATGCTGCCCCAGCCTCCAGTGACCAGCATTGCCTAAGACCCATCTAATACGCTTCCTGCTCAGCCCACCCCTCCTCCAAGGTTGCTGCAACCCACTAGATGCAGTGTTAGTATTGATCTCTGAAACCCCCTCCCCCCCCACCCCGACCTTCTACCTAAGCTCCATCAGACACCTCACACATGAGATATTCAAGGCTGACCTCAGCATCTCCTGTTCTAACTCAGCTACTCTCCTCTAATTTCCACCTCAGTGAGTAGTAGTACCACCATCTACCCAGCCAATCGATCTAGAAACCTGGAAACATGTCACTGATTTCTCATTCTCTCTCCCTAACCTTTCACCATAACCATACCATTAAGTCCCATCTATTTTATTCACCTGAATTTCCTCTATTCACAATCCTATCTCGCGCACACATCATCCCATCTGATTCACTGCACAGGTCTCACTGGCTCAGCCTTCCCCCTCCATACTGCTGGCATAGGAATCTATAAAGCAGCTCATGTATGTAATGACACCGTCATTTTCAGACAACCAATAAAGCCCCAACTCCTTTATTTAGTATACCTGGCCCTACCTCCCCACTTTTATCCCCTACCTCACTTTGCCTAATATTTTAAGTCCCAACAAGACAAAACTGTTCATCTCTTGTCTGCCAATATCTGTATTACCTATACCTGCTCTTGCTCCCACCTCCTTTAGCCTTGAACATTGACATCTGGCAATTATCACCAGCCACCCCTGAACTCTCCCAGGCTTAGATGTACTGCCAGGAGTTCCCATGATCCCCAGTGCTTAGCTCTGGATTACCCTATTGATTTATCATGTCTGCTTATGTGTTTTTTCCTCATCCAGTGAATGTGAGCCCCTTGAGGGCAGGGACTGTGCTTTCTACAATCTTTCACTTGCTAGCCCTTAGAATAGAGCATGGCCAGTCTAAAAGCAGAAATATATTGAAGGTGAGGTCCAAAGCAAGCTTCAGTACAGGAATGTCGACATCTAGAACCTAAGAGGAAATACCAGAGTTGTGATGACCCCCAAATATGCACATGGCATCTTATCTGATGGGCATCAGTTTACTGTTAGAACATTCCCTACAACAGAGGCCTGGAGTGGAGAAGGAGTCACATGATTGCTGGGAGCATTCAACTTTAATAATCTCCCTTCTCAGCCTCCAAATGTAATGTAAATGGACCTGAGATACCAGCCAAGACCAACTCCTCATCCCAAGTTCTCTTTCCCAGGACAGGAAGTCACTTAAGTTTCTCTATCTACCTCCCTAGACACATGCGCACAGTGTTTCCTCCTTGCCACAGCCCTGCTCCCATTCAACTTCCCCCAGGTTCCCCCATGGTCTAAAGAGCCCACCACTGGTTTGACTTAATTCAGCAGGAGCCTGGTGGAATCTTCCTATCCACCCCCTATCAGGCTTGAACTAGTCCTTTGAGAAGTAAGCAGTACTTGGCTACTTCTTGTAGCCTCTTGGCTTAACATTGAGAGAAGAGAAAGAGGGTTTCTGACATGGAAAATCTGCTTTGTAACACCTTCTGGCATTTATTGGGTATCTATAAAGTGCATGGCATTCATCAACCATCTCATAAGAGAGTTTAATGTCATGATAAGAACATGGCCTGCATAGTAAAGCTTGAGTTCACATCCCAGGGCTACCACTTAGTATTTGTGCGACCTCAGATAAGTTACTATATGTACCTTTCTGTGCCTCAGCTTACCATTCTGTAAAATGTGTATGGTCGTAGTTGTATCTTCCTCATAGAATTATTCAAGTTGAGTTCATGAAAGGACAGTGCCTGGGATGTTGTAAGGGCTACACAAGTACTAGATGTCATTATTTATGTACATTATCTCATCGACTCCTCACAAACACCTCATCTTCCAGATGAGGAAATTGTGGTTTGAGACACAAACCAGACCAGGCCCAAGCATCGCCAGTATCCACATTCTCAGCCACAAAGGCCTGAATGCCTTCAGCTGTGAAGTTAGACTTCCATTCCCAAGGGTTAAATTGAGCAAGATGTTCTGCATCCTGGTATAGATATTGCTTGTCCTCTTACTAGGAAACATGCTCTGAGCTGACTCAAACATAGGAAATGTCTCAAACTAAAAAACAATTCTTTTGATTAAAACAAGAACAAACAAGGCTCATTAACATCTGACCAAGACAATCTATTATCAGGAAAATGATATGGTGGCAAAGCAAGGGCCCCCAAATTTTGACTCAGTCTTCTAAACAGGCACCTCATTATGTCCTGGGACTATCAGAGAACTGTGCACGCACTGGGAGCTTGACTACAGATGGGGCACCGGTGTCTTCAGCTGCCAAAGGTCGTCTGGCAGGAAGCATGTTGGTGTCTGGTGGTTTCTTGGACCACGTGGTATAACTGCCAGGTTATGGTTCTGCAGTTACAGCCCCCAGGGACCAGCAACAGACATCGGTTGCTGTAATGTAGGAAGGCTCAAGCCTTCTACAGGGAAAACTTGGGAAGGGAAAAGTTTACTTTAGTTCAGGTTTTGTGGTGGCAAACAGCCTGATAAACAGGAATGCTGCAGTTGGATGATTAATGAGGCTCAGGAACCTTTGTGTTTGGCTTTGAAAGATTATAAATACATCGGACTTGTCAAGCATAACCCGTCAGTTACAAATTACGAGTCACCTTTCAGCTGTTGTCCCTTCACTTCTTGTTTTGAAAGGAGTGAGCAAACAACTTTCAGTCCTCCAGCTGCAGAGTTTCAAGCACACGGGGCACTGGGACTCACCTTTGCTCAGCGGCTCTGCTCATGGCAGGTTTACTAGATTCGGTTAGCATCACCTGCAACACTCCTTTCCCTAACTATGTGCTTTGGTATCTCTCGAGAGGCTTGGTTCTGACTGTTCACTGTTCAAGGAGAGTGACTTCATTAACACCCTTAGCTCCCATTTTTGCATGTATCACCAGTTAGAGACAAATAGCTATGTAGGACATTACTTTTAAAACATATGGGATGGATTTGTGTTTGGAGAAGCTGAATGATACACTCAAGAATCCAATGTTAGAAGCTGTTTGCTTCTAGAGAAGATATGTTTGAAAAAAAAAAGTGCATGCAGGGCCTCCCCTGGTGGCACAGAGGTTGAGCACTGGGCTGTGAAGCTGCCTGCAGCCTCTGCAGTGGCGGTTCGATCCCCGGCCACCGGGCGAGAGTCCCACATGGCACGACAGGCCTCTCCTGCCGCGCCCGCTGCTCCCCTCAGCACCCCTCAACAGTGTATTTCGGTCCATCTGCCTGTTCCGTTCCCTGCTCTGGCTCTGATGAATTCTCTCACCCTCCTGTGCTTCTGACTGTACCCAGTGCTTGTATAAATTTTTTTTAAAAATCTTAAAAAAAAAAATACAGTACATTCAGTGATCCACAGTATCCCAGTGCATTTGTGGCACCTGCCAACTGGGCTTCTTTGAGATTTCAGTCACACACACACACACACACACACACACACACACAATAAGTATATATGCTTTGAAGCTTAAAATATCTGTGCTCAATAATACAAATGGCCCTTGAGTCATTTGTATCTGGCCCAGATTCAGCTAAAACCTGCTCCTTCCAACATGATTTCCCTTAACTTTTAAAATCTATGACAATAGCTTGTTAATTTACCTGGTTTTTTGTGTTTTTTTTTACCTGTTTTTTAAATGAAATTCCACATTCATCTTACTTGGAAGAAAAATTCTCTTTCAAATGGAGAAAACAGCTTCCTTCCAAGCTTACCCAAATCTGAGACAAATATGATTTGGTTAGTTTTGCTTTCATTTATTTTTCTT